GGCAGCGTTTAGCAAGAAATGAGCTTTTCCACCCTTCTCCACTTCTGCTTCTGCCACGCTCGTGCAGAACAAGGGAATTCACCGGTGGGCAGATTCGGGAATTCACCGGTGGGCAGATTCGGGAATTCACCGGCGGGCAGATTCGGGAATTCACAGGCCATGGGAGCACTCTGGGGAGCCCTGGCAGTGGGCAGGTCCTGGTGGGGTCATGGGGTGGCTCTGATGTGAGGTCACAGAGCCCCGCTTTGAGGAGCTGTTCCGTGCCAGCTGTGAGCAGCACTGACACAGTGTGTGTGAGCACGGGGGGTCATGGTCCTCACCCACTGCCTCCTCCTCTTTCTGTTGGCCCTGCAAGCCCAGGACGCCCAGACTGCTCCAGTCCGAGGGCAGGGAGCAGGTAGGCAGGCAGGGAACAGGTTAGGCAGGCAGGGAACAGGTAGGCAGGCAGGGAACAGGTAGGCAGGCAGGGAGCAGGTTAGGCAGGCAGGGAACAGGTAGGCAGGCAGGGAGCAGGTTAGGCAGGCAGGGAGCAGGTTAGGCAGGCAGGGAGCAGGTTAGGCAGGCAGGGAACAGGTAGGCAGGCAGTGGCCAGCACCAGCCTGGGGCTGGCAGCAGTGAGCCAGGCAGACAGAGCAGTGTGGGCAGTGGGGCAGACACAGCACGGGGAGGTGAGGAGGGGCTGCAGCTGCTTCAGGGAGGGGGTTCCCAACGAGCAGGGAGGTGTGGAGTGGCAGTGCCAGGCCAGAAACTTTGCCCTGAGTTATCCAGCACTTGGTGATGGTTGTCCAGCCTCCTGGCTGGGTTCCAGGGCTGACCCACAGACAGGTCACATCTGTGTGTGTGCTGTGGCTTTTTGCTTCCTCTGAGAGCTGCCAGCTCAGAGTCCCAAGGTCAGCCAAGTGCCCCTGCAGGTGTGAGAATACAGATCCACCTGTGCATGCCCTGTCATTATGTGACAGGTATGACAGTGTAGAGCAGAACGTGTGATGGTAACTTCCCATGGGTGTTTGGTTACAGATGTGGCCAGAGAGAGGGCTCTTCCAGCTCCTCAGACGGTTCCCATGCTGATTCCCAGCTGGTATCCCAGGGGTAAGTAGTCAATCTCTTTAGACTTCACAGAATAATCTTTTTCAATGTGTTCTTCATGTGAAATGTACCTTCATACTTCCCATTAGTGTCTTTGTATAAAGTTAAAACAAGGAAGGATTTCCAGAGGACTCCTGAAGTTCCAAAAGAGGCCCTGAAAAACTTGGAGAAAGCCACATCAGGTCAGTATATCTCACTCTGTGAACCATGGGACCTGAGAAGCTGAGCTTTTAGCTTCCTGTAGGAACACACTGGAGCCTGGGCAGCAGAGAGGGATCTGTCAGAGCCTCACTGCAGGGACACTCGATTCCACCACTTGTGTGGGCTGCTGAGCCACAGAGATGATCCAGCACAGTCTACTCCCAGCTGTGCTTCCAGCTGAGTACCAAGGTCAGCAGCTGCTGCGGTTCAGGAAGGCCATGGAGGGGCTGGAGCAGGTCCAGAGAAGAGCAGCGAGGCTGGGGAAGGGTCTGGAGCACAAATGCTGTGAGGAGAGGCTGAGGGAGCTGGGGGGGCTCAGCCTGGAGAGGAGGAGGCTCAGGGGAGACCTCCTCACTCTCTGCAACTCCCTGACAGGAGGGGGGAGCCAGGTGGAGACTGGTCTCTTCTCCCAGGAACCAGCAGTAGGACAAGAGGGCTGGGTCTTCAGCTGTGCCAGGGGAGGTTTAGGTTGGATATCAGGAGAAATTCTTTCCAGAGGGAGTGCTCAGCCATTGGAATGGGCTGCCCAGGGAGGGGGTGGAGTCACTGTCCCTGGAGGTGTTTAAGGACAGACTGGATGTGGCATCAGTACCATGGGCTGGGAACCACGGCAGGGTTGGATCAAGGGTTGGACTTGATGGTCTCTGAGGTCTTTTCCAACCCGGCTGATTCTGTGATTCTATGAGTGGCCAGAGCTGCTTTGTGCTGGGTATCCAGGTGTTGGGAACAGGTGTGTGCTGAATTCATGTTCAGCTCATGCACAGAGCAGCCTCAAGGCATGAAGGACATCCCAAGAAATCTTGGCTGCCCTTTCCTAATGTTGGAAGTCGTGTACATCCTGATTCTGCAGGCATTTCTGCTTCCATAGGGACACTAATACATCACTTTTTCACCCATTTAGACACTTTTGACAAACAAAGAAACTAATGTTCATTGGTTCTTAATTACATAATTCACTTTCATTAGTTATTATTCTACCTTCTATTGGCTATTAATTTTTTACTTTCTATGCTAATTAAGTCCACATCTTTAGTCTGTTTAGTATCTTTTCCCTCCAGTAGGGAAGGAATCCAGCACTTCTATTGAATTCTTCGTTAATTCTTTTCTTTAGCTGCTGGTTTCTGAAAAATGTCCATGTAGTTCATTCCAGATGTCCAACTTCAACAACACATCTTTCTCTCTCAGACTTTGTTCCTTGAAGCATATCAAAGTTTAACAAAACTCAGTTTTAGTACTTTCCCAAGCTGTGTTCTCACAGAAGGTGCTTATGACAACTTTTTTTGCTATGTGCTGGCTAAAAGTGATTTAAGGCCTAACGCAGCTTATGATTAACTAAAACACCTAATTAAAAGGTTTAATTAAAACCATATATTAAACCCAAATATTGTAAAAGTTATATCATTTCCAACAGGCTCTCCATTTCTATTTGCACTTCAGAAAGCTTGGTTGTGGTGTTCCTGTTCTGTGGGGGACAGCAGGCTCCCCACTGCCAAAGTGCCCAGGACGTGGCACCGTGTTCCTGATGAGGAACGATTCCTTCTAATTAAACTGTCCCCTTGTTCTTTTCTAGAGATGGAGCCAGAGCAGAAGGAGGCCTTGCAGATGAGAAGAAGTGACAGGATGCCAGTCTCTGGCAGAGAGGCAATACAAGAAGCCAGCACACCTGCTCCGCCTCAGGGGCATCCTGGAGGTGAGTGCTTGGGGGATGTCAGCTTGGGAGAACTGGAGCATTTCTGTTGCACCCCTGCAGTGTCTCCTTGAAGGAGCTGTGGGTACCCAACACACAGCCCTGGCCTGCAGCCTGGAGGGACAGACAGGCTCTTCTCCATGAGAACTTTGAGGGATCCTTCTTGTCCCCTCCAAAGCCAGAAGCACCCATCTCTGAGAACAAACCCCTCGGGCAGGTGAAGCACACTGTGAGATCACCCCTAGGGCAGAGCACGGTGATGTTGTGGTGTTGTCTCTCATCCTGCAGGGCCAGGTGCTGGGGAAAAGGCTGGTGGTCGGGAGCTGAGCAAGTTCTACATCCTAGGCACTGCAGCAGCCCTGGGTGTGCTGCTGCTTGGGATAGTGGTACTGGGCACAGTCCTGTCACTGCTGAGCAGCAGAGACACGTGAGTTGGCTTTTTTCCAGAGTTATTCACTGCTGCTGTTGGCAATGAAGTATTTGCAGTTAGGCTGTGCTGGCTTGCCAAGGCAGCTGCTGGCAGTGCCCCGCTGGGATTTCCATGGTGTGATCCTTCCACTGTCCTCCTAGTTCGTGTCGCTGAGTGGTCTTTTCTGAACCCATTTGTACAGAAGGACCCAGAGAACCAGAGAAGCACCGGGACAAGCCAACACCGAGAGCTCCAGCCCATCCCCGGTGGTCTTTGCAGCACAGCTCGCCCAGATGTCCAGACACATGGTCACGGGGCCCTCACCTCTGCCCACGTGCCCCAGCTGCTCTCTCGCTGACTGTGCCTCTTCATGTGACAACTGGATTTTGCTGGACTCATCTCAGCCCACACCATTTGGGTATCGCTGTTACCAGTGCCAGGGATACTGCACATTAAAAGAGGATTGTTTTGTGAATGGATAAAAGATATATTTTTGCCCAAAAGCAGTGAGTTCTTGCCTGTTTTTGGCTGTTTCTGTCAGGGTGGAATGCACAGAGCTGTGAGAGGAGCTGCAGAGACCTGCATTCCAGTGCAGGACACCTTTCTCCCAGCACCAGCCTGGTTTCCCAGCTGGGGTTTCATCCACAAGGATGGGGACATGCTGGTGAGATGTGGGGTGCAAATGCTTGTCCAAATAAATTTAATGGCTTGGCTTGCAGCCCTCAGCCTTGAAGCACAGGCACTCAGGTCTTCCTTCTCAGAAATCCATATCAAAAGCTCTGTATGAATACTGCTTAAAAAAGCCATCCACGAGTGCATTTACTTGCTACCACTTTTGTCAGGCAGTATTTAGCAAGAAATGAGCTTTTCCTGTTAGTTTTGCTACAGCTTTATTACTTTGAAAGACTCTGCTTCTTCCCTCTGCTACTCCAATACAGCCTCCCAGCCCAGCAAAATCATGTTTCAGTAGGAAACCTTCACCACACAAAGGTGGGCACTCTATGGGAATATGTTAATCTCAAAAAAGAGAGTCTTTTAACCTTTCTTCCTCTTTTTTACCAGCACTTAGTGTTAGAAAACAACTGAAAAAAACGGGGTTCTTACACTTTATGGTACAAGCAGCAGGACAGAGGAATGAAGACAGAAAAAATGGGGGCAGGAAGCAGGACAGAGGGACTGCAAAGAGGAAAAGCAGGGCAGGCAGCAGGACAGAGTGGAGGAAGCATGACAGCATAAAGTCCTGGCCTCAGCACCCCCCTTCCCAGTTTGGTGTCATCTGCCCCAGCATCCAGACCATTAGTTATGGAAAACATTAAACAGGATGGGGCCCAGTGCTGATTCCTGGGAGACTGTGCTTGTTCCTGGCTCTGCACTGGACTTGGTGCCACTGAGCAGCACCCCTGGGGCCCGGCCATCCAGCCCTCTTCAATCCTGGTCACTGCTGGCTCGTCCTGCCCATGTCCCTTTGAGTGACTTGAGTTCCATTTTTAAAAAGAAGAGATTGCCAGGTGGGTACCTGCAAGCCCACAGCTTTCAAAATCCCATCACACAACCATCCCTCACTGCCTCTTTCCACCAACTGCCCCAGAACCTAGAGAGAAGGAAACGTGCTGTAAATTATTTGTGCAAGGCCAACAAGGGGTTTTAATTGTGGCTGTGACTTCTCTGCCTGTTGGTTCCAAATGGTTCCTGTTGGCTCCTCCTCCTCCTTTCTGCCTGAGGGTATTCCCTGACCTCCAGAGGTCGTCTGGGGAGACCATAGCTCCGGATCTGTAAGGATCTGCCCTGCTCTCTCTGTCTTGGCAGGAGTTGTTCCTGAGCAGCCCTGTGTGCAGGAGCCCACTGGCAGCTCCTGTTGGAGGGTCCTGGAGCTGTGTCATCCCTGGGAGCATTAACAGAATCTGGAAGACGAGTTCTCTTCCTCCTCCCCGTTGAGCTGTCATAGTTGGCACTGTTCATGAACCAGCTGTAGTGAACATTGCCCCACCGCGGGGATCTGCTCCTGTTCCTCTCCCTGGCATCATTCCTCTGGCTGTGTGTCACCTTAATCCTCCCAGGCAGATCCTGTGGTCCTGCAGAATCCACCTGCTTGCTGCTGCCCCCACTATGACTGAGGAAGGAATGGGCATAGGGTGGTGCTGATGAAGAAGCTGCCATTTCTTCCATATTCAAATCAGGGCACCTGAAGATAAAAAAAGAGTGATCTCTGTTTAGGGTCATCCCATGGGAAATTCAGCTGGGGTCTGACCCCCAGGTCTGCCCCCAGAGCAAGTCCTGGTCTTTATACCCCCTAAAGCCTCCATTTCACAGAATCCCAGAATCCCAGAATGGTTTGGGTCGGGAGGGACCCTAAAGCTCATCTCATTCTACCTCCCTTCCACTATCCCAGTTTGCTCCAAGCCCTGTCCAACCTGGCCTTGGACACTTCCAGGGATGGGGCAGCCACAGCTTCTCTGGGCAACCTGTGCCAGGGCCTCTCCACCCTCACAGGGAAGAATTTCTTCCTTATATCTAATCTAAATCTTCCCTCTTTCACTTTGAAATCGTTACCCCTTGTCCTGTCACTCCTTGATAAAATGTCCCTCCCCATCTTTCCTGGAGGCCCCTCAAATCCTCTTCAGAAAGCAGGCAGGGCAGCTTACACAGGGCAGCAGCCTCATGCCCAGCAAGGGAAGAGAAGGACTGGCATGGGGTATTTCAGAACTGACAGCACTGAAGGACACAGACAGGAGTTGTCTCCTGTGGCAGAAACACTCAGGAGGAGGAGAAGACAAACAGGAAAGCCAGGAAAAGGAAACATATTCTGGACTTGTGTGACCCTGGTTCTTACCTGATATAGAAGAGCAGATAGGCTTGCTGGCCCAGGACTGTGTGGATGTCACAGTCATCCATAGTCTCATCATCCATCTTGTACCACAGCCCGTCACTGGCCTGCAAAGCAAGGCACCTGTGTCTGGAGGGGAACCGCAGGATTTCTCCGCAGAAAACTGCGGAACAGTTGGTACACCAACACAAACCCAGCCCAGCCCTGAAGGAGAAACTCCCCCAAAGCCTTGGCTGCCAGTAGCACTGCTGGGAACGTTTGTCTTCCCAGCACACATTTTTCCCTGCCAGGAGGGAAGTTGCTCCTTGCCTTTGTGTAGCAGAAGAAATGCCCGGCGAGACAGGTTTCACCGCTGTGCACCACGACGGAGTACAAGGAGTAAAGGAGGGGCTCTTCAGCTTCCTCAGACATGTATGGCTGAAGATCCAAGCACTCAGGGTACTCCACAAGCTACAGAGAAACCAAGAGGGCTCAGCAATGACCCTGAGCTAGCTGAAATAGCCTCCAGCATGGAATAGTTTGAGCAGCAGGAAACTGTTCTCCTGCCAAAGCAGCTCTGCCAGAGCAGAGTCTGGGCTGGTCTTCCCACAGGAAGTCTCCTCTCCCCAGAAGGGAACACAGAAAGCCCAACAGGAGCAGCTTGTGACAAAGGGTACTGCTTTGGGCAATCTCCTGCTCCAGGAAGAGGAAGTTGCTCTCTAGTTGCATACCCACCTCGCTGATCTTCCTGCTGCTCCGAACATCAACCCTTCCCAGGCACAGCGTGAGGACTCTGGGCGCGTGATGGATTGTGATCTTCTTGGAGGCGATCATCTTCTTCCTATACCTTGAACCCAAGCACAGAGCCAAGCGCCAAAATGCACCTGATCTTGCCCCAGGAGGGCCAGACAACCTTTCCTGTCTCACACATCCCAGCACTTCCTTAAGGTTATTCCAGGCTATAAGGCCATATTAAAAAAGGCTGTGTCTCATTACTGTGCATTAAACCTCTATGAGAAGCTGTTTCTGCTTGATGACATGCAGCCCCTCCTGCAGGATCTGCTGTTAAAATATCGTTAGAGATCATCTTACTTGCTGCATTTCATGCACTGTTTCCCATCCAGCAGCTTGGGCTTCACAAAGTTCTCCAGGATCGCGGTGAGGGATGAGGCTGCCTGGACAAGGGAGAAAGGAGCTGCTGAGCTGCAGGAAATGCCCTCACCCAAACACTTCCCAGGAAGACCCAGGCTGTTGATGCTGAGCAGACCCACTGTGAACCTGCAAGCACTGTCCAGGAGGAGGCAGAAAGGAAGTGTGATGCTGAACATTTCCTTTGTGTCTCAGGGGCCATCAAAAGCTCCCTCTCTGTACCACTGCTCAGTTCAGCTACTGATGGTGTGTCAGGGCACCAGCAGTGAAAACTGATCCAGCCCATGAGCCTGGCAGCCAGACAGCTGCTGAGGGAGGGCAAAGGAGGGAGAAGGAGAGTATGTCAAGGGTGCAGAGGGCATAACACTGATGGTTCAGCTTAAAACCAGCACCATGGGAGAGCAGTGCCATGGCCTCTGCAGGAGGACACTGTTCATTCCCCTTCCCAACCACCACCAAGCTCCCCTGTGCCTACAATAGAGGTTTTTAAGACAAATGCTTTGGTTCTGGAAAGCTACAACAGGGGCCTCCGGACCCCTCAAAGCATAATTGCAAACCCTCTTACTTTGATTTTCAAAAGGATTTCCAGGAAGGCCTTGTAGGAATCAGAAACTGCTTGGCATCTCAAACACGTGACTGGAAGGAAAATCAAAATGCTGGGTGAAGTTAATTGGCGGTGATGGTTTACGCCTGTGGGACTTCCTGCACCAGTCACAGGACCAGCTGCTTGTCACAGGCAGACAGAAGGGCACAGAAAGGGCCAAGGAGAGCAATAGTTGTGGAAACATACCTCTGGATCTCAGAAAGCCCCCAAATATTTGGTAGATGAGGGTAGTTGTTTGAGAAGAGACGTCCAAGCTGGAAATAAAGGGCAAGGCAGAGAGTTACCTCCTCCAGGAGTTTAGATTTGAAAACCTTGGGTTTAAGTTTTCCTTGATAGAAGTGCTTCAAGGAGTTCAACAGGTTCAGAAACATAGAAAAGGGAATTTGCTTGTGCTTACACTGTGCTTCCAGGCAGACAAGCGTCCTGCATGGCATGGAGAGCACAGCAGAAGAACTCGTAGGCGTCTCCTGCTACGTCAGGCTTAAATTCTCCTATGACTAAGAAAGAAGTTAGTGGTTCCACCCTGCAAGAAGGGGACAAAGCCTGTCAAAGCACCTGAAGTTGCTTACGTCTGAGGCTCTTGAGGACAGCCCTGGGCAGGACAGCGTTGGCCAAGGAATACATGATCTTCCGAACGTGGTCTTCCATGATGCACATCATGCAGAAGACTTGCTCATCACCTGGGGAGGGAGGGAAGTTTCTCGGGTTAGCAAAACAATCCCAAGCGGTGGGAAACCTTATGGAGGTCTTGGAGTTCTAAGGACTCTCTGTTCGTCTTCTCTCAGGGTGCCAATGTCCTGAGAAGCCCGGGACATTTAAGTGCACAGAAAATGTTCTTTAGAGGGAGGCTGAAGTGGCACAAGTTTTCTGTGCAATAAGCCAAGAGGGTTTAACGAGGTGGGACAGAGACCCAGGGCTCGAAAGAGGTGCCTTTCTGAACATGAAAGCACCTTGACAGGACAATGAGCCAGCAGTGTGCCCAGGTGACCAAGAAGGCCAATGGATCCTGGCCTGGCTCAGGAAGAGTGTGGCATCAGGACCAGGGCAGTGATTGTTGGCCTGGACTGAGCGCTGGTGAGGCCACCCCTGGAGTGCTGTGTCCAGCTCTGGGCCCTCAGGTCAGGAAGGACATGGAGGTGCTGGAGCAGGTCCAGAGAAGGGCAACAAGGCTGGGGAAGGGACTGGAGCACAAGTGCTGTGAGGAGAGGCTGAGGGAGCTGGGGGTGTTGAGGCTGGAGAAGAGGAGGCTCAGGGGAGACCTCCTGACTCTGCAATTCCCTGACAGGAGGGGGGAGCCAGGTGGGGGTCGGGTTCTGCTCCCAGGAACCAGCAGTAGGACAGGAGGACATGGTCTCCAGCTGTGCCAGGGGAGGTTTAGGTTGGATATTGGGAAGAAATTTTTTCCAGAGTGCTCAGCCATTGGAATGGGCTGCCCAGGGAGGAGGTGGATTCACCATCCCTGGAGGTGTTGAAGGTGAGACTGGATGTGGCATCAGTGCCATGGGCTGGGAACCATGGCAGGGTTGGATCAAGGGTTGGACTTGATGATCTCAGAGGTCTTTTCCAACCTAGTTGATTCTATAATTCTGTGACAAGCAGCTTTTAGTTTGAGCCCTCAAGGAACACAAGCTGACAAAGAAGGGCTGCTGCTCTTTCTCGTAAATCCAATTCCAGGTTCTGGGAATCCTTGGGATTTACAATGAGACACTCCTAAAAGTACTCACAGGACTGGCTGTGCTGACGAGAGAGCAGGTAATTAGCCAGAGGGGGGGTGTAGGTCAGGCACTGCAGGATGACGTTGACGTAGCAGGTGCTGCCCCGGTTGCGGAGTCCCGGCCCAGGTCTCCGTGTGTGCAGCCAGTCCATGCAAATGTCCTCTGGGGGAAAGAGGATCCTTTCTGGGGGAGTCATTTCCTTGGCAATGACTGCAGGGAAATGACATTTGAAAAGAGGTGAGACAAGAGGTAAGAGGTGCACTCTGCCCCAGGTGATGGCCAGGCCATGGGGAACGGGGCTACATTTGGAAGGTATCTGGTCATTAGTGGTGTCCCCAGGGATCAGTGTTGGGCCCAGTCCTGTTTAATATCTTTATTGATGATCTGGGTGAGGGTATCAAGTGTATCCTCAGTAAATTCATGGACAACACCAGTTTGGGTGTGAGTGTCGATCTGCTGGAGGGTAGAAAGGCTCTGCCAAGGGATCTGGACAGGCTGGGATGAGACCAATAGCATGAGGTTCGACAAGACCAAGTACCAGGTCCTACACTTCAGCCAGAACAACCCCCTGCAGTGCTCTAGTCTGGGTTTCCAACCACTCCAGGGGCAGAGTGGTTGGAAACGGGCCCAGTGGAGAAGGACCTGGGGGTGCTGGTCGACAGCAGCTAAACCTGAGCCAGTGTGTGCCCAGGTGGCCAAGAAGGCCAAAGACATCTTGACCTGTATGAGGAACAGTGTGGCCAGCATGGCCAGGGAAGTGATTGTCCCTCTGTACTTGGCACCTTGAGTGCTGTGTCCAGTTCTGGGCCCCTCAATCAGGAAAGACATTGAGGGACTGGTGAGTGTCCAGAGAAGGGCAACGAAGCTGGGGAAGGGTCTAGAGGGTAAGTCCTATGAGGAGCAGCTGAGAGAGTTGGGGTTGTTTACCCTGGAGAAAAGGAAGCTCAGGGGTGACCTTGTCACTCTCTACAACCACCTGAAAGGAGGTTGTAGCCAGGTGGGGGTTGACCTTTTTTCCCAGGCAATCACCAATAGGACAAGAGGATATAGCCTTAAGATGTCCCAGGGGAGGTTCAGGTTGGACATCAGTAGGAATTGCTTCACAAGAAGGAGTGGTTATATGTTGGAATGGGCTGCCCAGGGAGGTGGTGGAGCCACCATCCCTGTGAGGTGTTTGAGAGAAGCCTGGATGTGGCATCAGTGCCATGGTCTGGGTGACAAGGTGGTGTTCAGTCAGAGGTTGGACTCGATGACCTCAGAGGTCTTTTCTAACCTAATTAATTCAGTGATTCTGTGTGTGAATGTTGTTGCTCAAAAACATATTCAAATGCTGAGTTCTCTACAGGACACCAAGACCAACAGCTCTAACCACCAACCCAGAAACATCAGGGGAAGCCTCACACCCTGTTGACATCTGCTGGTAGGGGAACAGTTCCGGAAAACAGTTCTGGAAAGTTTGTTCCCCTGCTTAGTGTGCTAAAAGTCCAGCAAACTTATTTCTGGGCCACAGACTACCTTCCTTTCCCTCTAGAGCCTTGGATTATCAGATTTTACCTTTTCCTGACTGTAATATGATGAAAACAAGCGACGCCTGGATCAGTCTGGCTGCTCTCAGGAAGCGCCTCAGAATTCACTCCAGGTTGTCAGTGGGGATGGAGCCACAGCCGTGTCCATTGTCCAAGGGCATCCACAAAGTCCAAGCCTGCTGGTGAAACCATTACTCAAAGAAGTTGTTCCCTCTTGAGGCCATCGCCCCCTCAGGTACAGAGGGAAAAGCTTGGGATGACAGAGGATGTCAGGACCTCTTCCAGGAAGATCAGATCAGTGCCAATCATCTCTTAGGAAAGGAATTAATTGTAGCTCAGCAAAATGATTTAAAAAACCCCAGATGTGACCCACAAAGCACCTCCAGCTGTCAAAAGCTGGTGTTTCTAGCTGCTGCCAAGGATGAAGAATGCTTGGAAGCAGGCAGACATGCAAGTAGCAATGGAAGGAGCTAAGTTATCCCAGTGGCCAGCTCAGGTCCAGCTAGCTTTTGCTGGCCCACTCCTCAGGATGCCAAGGGGGCAGGTGAGGTCACAATCACCACTCACAGGTCCTGCATGTCTTCCCCTCAGGGCCACACATGTTTTTGGCCCTGTGGCCACCACAGCTCAGCCCTCTGGCAGCTGGAAGTCATGGACACCAGGACACTTTGAAACCCACCTCCCAGGAGAACGTGTTGGGGTCCAAAGCATCATTTTAGGGTGTAAACTCCTCAAAGCCTCAAGTTCTTCATGTCCAAAGCCTCATTTTGAAGGTGCAGAGAACTAATACCTAGGGTATAAAGTCCTGCTTTTAAGAACCAAAAGAAGACTCACTTATAAGGACCAAGTGTGGGTTTAGGGGTAAAAATGAATTAAAAGCTGGTAAATCTGGGTCTTGGAGGAGGAGGAAGGACACTGGACTCCCTGCAGGGAAGGTGCTGGATGAGGGATGCTCACTGGTGGACCAGGGGGTTGCTGTTTTGACTGAAACCAACCCAAACCCATTCTTTGGTTTAGAAAGGGGTGAGAAGGGGCCATTCAGGGCAGCATTTCATCACCCTATGGGGTATTATTGGTGTCTTTTGGTTTTGTTCTGCCTCAACAACAGGGAACATACATCATGTTTCTTGTACTTCAACTTTTGATGGACTTTGAGCACTTTTATCAGCGACACGGTCGTGACATCACAGCCAGGGCTCACGGAATCCCTCCCGTTCCTCTCCCACGGCAACGGAACGTGGCCCCCAAACACCAACAGAGAACGTTGGCCTCGGTCACAGGATTGGTTGCCAACAATTCCAGGTGGTCCTCAGTCATACCCAGTCCCCAGTGACGTGGCCCTTGGGAACAACCCGGTGCCAGCAAGGGAATTCTGCCCTCAGACATGGCCAGGTGCCGCCCGTGGAACATCTTATTCTCCCTGATCCCTCCAGGTCCAAGTGAGCACTTTTATTTAAGAAACATCAAATATTCATATTTACGGGGAAAATTCCAACCCCTTTAGGGGCTTATTGCAAAGATCATTTTCAGGCTCTGGCCGTCACTCCTGCTCCTTAATTAGTGAGAACTGGGCTGCTTTGGAACCACCAAAAAATAATAGGGAATATTTTGAGTCTGATTTTAGGGGCATTTTACCCTCGTGCTGCCTGATGGTGATTCCTTCACCCCCACAGATCACCCCTCAGGGTCTTCTTGTGGGGGCTGCTGTCCCTCATCATGTAATCACCGGCTTTAATTTGCTCCTCAAGTGCTATTGCAGAGATCCAGGGAGCTGAAAAACATCTTACTCCACATACACCCCCCCAGCCGGAGAAAGCCAAGGAGGAAAATCTTCCTATGTATAATTTTTGGGTGTCATAGCTGAAGATATTTTTATCTTTAGAGTTTATCGAGGTAGCAGACTGGAGGTAATTTTTTCCTTGATTTTTATTAGTGGTTTCGTACTGCCCCACCTCCAAATCCTGCCCAGATCTGAGGAACAGAGGGGAAACATCCAAAACCAACCCCAAAATCACAGAGTTTCCTAGATGTGCTCATCCACAAGGGTTTGGGAGGAGGCAGCCTGGTTGCAGGTTATCATCAGAAAATCCTCAATTCCTTCCAAACCCACTTTGCTCAGTGGAATTTTAGGGATAAAAGTGCATAAATAAGTTGTGTTAAAGACAAGTTCTTGCCAAGCCATGCCAGGGTCTGGCTCCAGGTGCTCCTGGCATTGAGGAACCAGGATTGTCCCACGCCAGGTGCAGCCAGGGAGGGTCAGGAGGCCCCTGTGGTGAGGTGAAAACGAGCCACAAACCTGCTGGTTTGGGTTTCAGAGTGAAACCTGAGCTCTGGCTGGGAGAACTGGGAGTGAAATCCATCGGGTGGGTGGATCAGGAACCCCCCTGGAACTTTGCAAGGTTCCTGTTAGGGGGTTGACACCTCTTTGGGTGTCCTCTGGTCTGGGCACTACCAGGGCACCACCATCATCACCATCCCCCTGCTCTCCCAACATAACCTTCTCTCTCTGTTCTTTGCAGTTGATACAGATAATGAAGACAGTTGGGGCCTGTCAGATGTATTTTGGTAAGTCCCATGATTTTGGGGTGAGAAAGGGGATTCCACCCCCCTTGAATCCCCAGCAGGGCTTCTCCTGTGCTGGGCTGGGTCTCCCAGAGCCAAAACCCACCCAAGCCGTCCTCCAAAAGGGCTAAAAAGGGCTGAAATGTCTTGAGAAGGGCAGAAAACATCATCCAAAGGTCTGCAAACATCCCAGTAGTACAGAGAGTAATGATACTGTGGGAATAAATCCCATTTTTCAGCTATTTTACCCAAAACTACGACTTTTAGGGCTCCATGCACCACAACCCTTGCTTGCTACCGGTCCCCTTGGGATGGGGGTGCTTGTTAGCAGGTTTCTTAAATGCTGTTCTGCCAAATGGCTCATTTTTTGTTCTTAGGAAACTGTTGGTAATTGTTGCTTTGGACAATTATCAGGGAAAAGGAAATAAAAGGGGGTGAGCAATGCAGGAGGCAAAAACCAGCCTCTGAGCACACACCTGATGGCTCAAATTGGTCATAAACCATCATTATTGAACCACAAATGGGTGTCCATCATTAGTTATAACATTTACTAGCATTAATTTGTTAATTAGGTGCTGGTGCTGTCTCCTAAACCTTTTCCTGTATTTTTGCAGCGATCCTCAGGTCGTGAACCACTTTTTGCCTGGATCCAGAAAGGTGACAACTCAGCTACCTCTCCAAAACACAAACATCCTGGGTTTTTTTCATAAAAACTGAGGGTTTTTTACATCAAACTTCTCCCAAGGTCAGGATCTTTTTGGTTTTGAGCTTCTGCCACCGCTCGTGCGGTGCAGCCAGCTGGGATTTTGGGGTGTTTTGAGCCAAAACTGGGAACAGGGAGAGCCACTGCCCCACTGCTGGGAAGAGCT